ACTAGATGACCCACAGAGGTCCCTTCCAACCCCTGCCATTCTGTGATGCTGTGATTCTGTGATTCGGTGACTAAAGCAGTGCAGCCACAGTGGCCCTCACTCCTTCAGCTGGCTGTGCAAGTAATAAATTCAATCTCCCTTATTTTCAGGGATTTCAACAAGTTCAGATGACAAGGCTGAGAAACATGATGATGATGGAGATAAGGTAAAACTTCCTCTGAGTTTCAAGAGTGTTTGACTAGAGGCCGAAAGAACAGCAGGACATGATAGTGGTTTCCAGTGTCTTCGTAGTAAAGGGACAGTGTTTGCAAACAGTCGCTTGAACTTCTGTTTAGAAGCTCAGGAGTCTCATCTGACTTGGACACTTCAGAAAAATCTCATCCCCCTGACACCCCTATAACAGAGGCAGAGGAAGCATCCTCGGGGTGTGACCAGGCAAAAGCCAACTTAGGAGGGTTGTTATGCTTCCCTGCCTCTAATTAAGATAGGGGTGAGGGTGACTAAGCTCCTGCTTTAGACACCTTATGAAGAAGTTCATGTTAAGTGGGATGAGTCTAGTCTCAAATGCTTCAGAAGATTTATTAAATAATTAACAGGTAATTAATATTGTTTATCATGATCAACCTGATGTGCCTTCTCCATACTTTGTACAGGCAAGCTCAGAAAAGCATTGCAAACTCCAGCCCAGTGCAGATATTTCAGACCTCTTAGTCACTAGAGCAACCCATGTGAATAGGTCTGAACTAAACATGCTTCGAAAGCCTTCTCAGTTTTTCTCTTCTCCCTTCCAGTTTCCCAGCTATGCCATTCTCATTGCCTGTCTCATAGCGGCGTCCATTCTTTTCACACTGATGCTTTTGTTGTTTTGGAAACGTAAGTATCCGTAAGCACAAAATTTATTAACGTTTCTAATGCTGTCCTAGCAGAAGTCCTGGTTAATCTTCTGGTAAATCTGCCATGGCCCCTGTGACAGCACTCTGTTCATTTTATGGGGGTTGCTGTCCTCACTCCAGGACTGCGTCACCATGAGAAGACCAGGGAGCATGAGTTGGTGGGGATGCAGCAGGAGGAAGCCTGTGCAAAGAACCTGTTCACTCACTTGTTGCAGGTCTGGCTCATCTTGTTGGCTTTTGCTTTATAGTAAAGTGGTACCGTAGTTTCCTGGAGTTGCTCCTGACAGACATTGGTGTAACTTAAATCAGAATGAGATCCTGTCTTTCCTGCTTTGCCCACAGAAATTTTGCAACTTGCTGTCTTTGCTTCTGCACTCATTTGATGTATTCATTAGAATTATAGATTTATTTTTGCCATTGTGACTTTCATATTATTTTGCTTCTAGGTAAACACACAAAGAAGTTTATAATAAAAAGGTAATGCATTTTGTAATTTCCTATTAAAAGTTCCAATGTATTTTTTCTTAGAGGCAGGAAGGTGTTTGACACTGATTTTAATGAGTGTGGTACTGGCTTGTGGTGCTGACTACCAAAGTTATATTATGAGCAAGCTTCAGATAACTTCAGCCCAGAAAGTCAAGTACTGGTTCCAGGTTACTGCTTCTATGTAGCAATGAACAGACATCCAGAGCACTGGAGAACTTCAGCAAGAGGGACTTACTGTTACTTAGTGACCTCAGCTTAAGGAAATACCTAATTTGCTTTATTCTTTGATCAAATACCAGGGCATGACCTCAGTTGGGTTATTTTAAAGAAGAGATAAATGGTTATGATACTCACCAGCAAAATGGTTGCTCAGAAAGAGATCAGGGATTTATGGACAGTCCTCCATGGAGTGGCCAATACACAAAGAATAGGCCTTTTGAAGGGAACACTGAAGCAGTGTGGCAAACCAAGCTTTCCAGCACTACATAAATCTTGTAGCTCTCATGGGGCCACAGCAACCTCTCACACAGTCTTTGGGTCCCACTGAAGAATCTGAGGTGATCGTTCAGCTAATAGTTTTGGGGCAGATAAGTGTGTGTCTTCTGGCTGATCTTCTCTTCTGCTCTGAAGCAGCAATATGCTTTTGCCCCATTCATAATGATCTATGCTTCTCACTTACAGCCTTAGACCAGCAGAAGACCTTGAAAAAGTGTTCAGTGGCACTGAAGGAGAAAACAGCATTTTTTCCCTGTGAAGAGCTCCTACATCATCTGTAGATGCTATGGAACATAAAAAGGGCCTGGTTTATGCTGCATTGAGAGATACTTATGAGTCCTCAAAATATCAATGGGTGTAAACCAAAGTCCAAAGCTTCAGCTGTGAAAATTTGAAATCTTTGTGCAAATTTTGTCATGTTACTTTTAAAACTCATTGCGTAAAGAAGCTTCTTTGAGAAGCTGTTTTATGCATTATTCATAGGTGCTTCTGGCATCTGCCTTCTTACTAATACCATGTTACAGGATTGAATTTCTTTTACTCCATTTTTACTAATGCTTTTCCTTGAATACATCTTCTACTGTGAGGAACAGAAGAGAGAAGAAATAAGATGGAATGCTAGCTTCAAATTGCCAAAAAAAAAGAAAAAATCAGCAAATGCAGTTCTTATTGCTTTTATATAATCAAGATAAAAATTAAGCCACAAGAATGCTGCGAGTATAAATAAAAATGCACATAAGTTAAGGAGTGCTAGTGCTGCATGTGATTCAGCATGTTTGAATGACCCTTGGAGACTATGTTAATAAACTTCGTAATTTACTGCTAGCAATTGTATTTTTTATGCCACATCCTAAGGCTTTTGAACAGGAGTTAGTTATTCCCCAGGTCTTGAAATGACTGGTGTGCTGTCTCAGCTCTCTGAAGAAGTACTGCAGCATTTCCAGAGGTCGGGAAATGCCCAGAACACCACCCTGCAGGGACTTTTTTTCTATCCTGCCCCCACAAGCCCCCATACCACTCATTTGTAAATCCATGTCTCCCCCATTAATGTACATAGGGGATCCCCAGCTGTTTGTCTGGAGTTGCCTGTTGGTCCTCATGACAACGACCTGCAAAACCCAGCAGATCTCATGGTGGAGTCTGCTTGGCAATGCAGAGCTGCTCCATGAAGCCCCAGGGTGCTTCTTTGAGGGCCCCAGCACCCAGTCATGGGGTAGCATAGTGCTGTCTGGCTGGGTTTTGTACGGATGAGACTGGGGTGCCCAGTCCCACCAGTGCTGCCTATTTGTCTTTTAGAGAAGTTGCAGGTAGCAGCACAATGCACAGCTGTATCTTGGAAACATGGCTGTCCCTTCAGGTGCTCATGGGACGTGGGTGAAGCCACCTCGGTGTTTGTGAGCGACACAGGCAAAAATCTTGTGCTCTCCAGGGAAAGGCCCTGGGGCCACTAAAATCAGAGTGGAGAAGAAGAGATGAAGGGTGGCATTCACCTTCTGCTGCTTCTAGTGGGACATAGAAGGGCTGTGGGAGAGAACTTTGCTGCTGCTGGGGACAGAATTTGTCCCCAGTCCTTCTCTTCAGTAACAAGATGCCCACACACTCCTACTCCATCCCCACGGACACCGGCAGGACCTGTCATCCCTGTTCTCAGGACTTTGGCAAGGCAGAGCTGGTAAGCAGGCTGTGGCTGTTTAGCTGCTCAGACACGTGCCTGCCTTGAGCTTAGAGCTGACCCTGAGGATGAGGATGCTTTGGACAATGTGGGCTGTGTGGGCATTTGTGTGGTTAGCAGAGAAGGGCAGTCTGGTTCTGGGCTGTGGACCTTGGCTTGGCCCTGGGGTTCCTGAGCAGGAGGCAGGGCTGCCGGCTGCACAGAGCAGTCCAGGGAAGTCCGAAATCCTCCCTGTTCTCCTTGAGCCCTGTAAATGCTGCCATAATGATAGCTCTGCAGCACTAACCTTGTCTTCTACTCAGCTGGGAAAATTGGAGCCTTCAGGTGGATGCAGGGCAGATCAGCAATGCATGGCAGAGCGAAGACCATCATTTCACCACACTAATCACATCCTTTCTGAGGGGGCTTTTGCTTGTGTTTCAGCTGGGTTGAGATTTAGGCTTTAAAAACCAGATTGAGTTGGTAACTAGCCTGGGGGCATTAGTGAAGTGGGACTGGCCATGGAAACTGGAGGATCATCTGTGGGATATGCTGCAGAGTTTCCATGTATCTCATTGGGGTCCTCACGAACTCTGCTGCAGTGACTGTGGGAATGGCACGGGAGAAGGTTCACATCCACAACACCATTTTTTATCTCTGTTGCCTGGAGTTCACCAGTCCCTGCTATGGCAACTCCGGGCAATGACATCTTGAAGTAAGAGCACATTGTGGGATTAGCATTTGATGAGAAGAAAACATTGTCTGGCAGCTCTGGACTTCCCCGCTAGTCATGCTCAGGGCTGTGGTGAGAATTTTTGACCCTACAGCATCTTCTCACAGGCCATGAGTTAGGGGGAGGCACGGGAGGTTCCTCTTTGGGGTCCCTCTCAGCCTTGCACCCCACTGCACACCCTGGTTTAGCCGCATTGTGGGGGGCAGAAGAGGGAGCCCAAACAGAGCATGTGGCCTGCAGGCTCCCAGGTTGGGTTTGCTCAGCTGAGACCTGCGTCTGTCCCACGCTGGTTAATGTGGCTGCCGCCACCCCCACAGACAGCACGTGCTGAGCCTGGGGGCCCGGCTGCAGCACGTGCTGAGCCTGGGGGCCTGGCTGCTGACACTGCTTCTAGGCATGAATCCCACACAAATCTGGAAGCACTGAGAGAGGAAAAACTACCCAAACAGTTTTGATGGACTCCTTTAAAAGAAAAAAATAAAGGCTTTTTTTTTTTCTCCCTCCCCAAAAAAACCTGCTAATTAAGCCAGCAATATCTTCACTGTAACCTCTAATTGGCAGGGCTGGGCCAATCCTTTTGCTCTCGTTAATTAGCTCTGCACTAACGACTTCTTTAGTGCAGGGTTGGCTTTTGCTGGGGAAGGTTCTAGCACGTTTGCTGTGGTGCTGGTTGGACTTGAAGGCCCTGCTTTGGGTAGCTGCACAAGGGCAGAAGAAACAGGACCCAGCAAAGTGAGTATGATCTGACCAGCCATGTGGAAATGCAGCCCACAAATGCTGCAGTGAAGTTGTAAGTGTAACTTATGCTGCTTTTATGTATCTTTTTATCCACCCCAATTACTGAGGCTGAAGTTTGGGTTTAGAGTGGCAATTTGAAGCAAGGAATCTGGGAAGGTTCTGTTTAAATGAAAATACATTGAAGTAATTTCTGAGGGACTGACCCTGGCTGTCAGTATGTTCAGTGAAAGGTTAAAGGGAGCCTTTTAAAATGTGACTGGAGGAAAAAGAAAACAGTTTCCAAAAGCAACAGAAGTCCCGGAATGCATTTTCTGGTCCTAGTGAAGAAGAACTGGATGAAAGCAGTAGGTTTTTAGAAAGAAAGGGCTGTCAGAGAGTATGTCATTGGTATCTGGAAATGTTAGTCTGAAAAATAAAGACTTTTACCTTGGAAGGCAAAGAAGAAGTGCACTTGAGTAAAGATTAAGTGCTGCAGCCAAGAAAAACCTGTGGTAAGCAGCTTAGAACAATGCACAGGGTATGAGCCGCAAAGCTCTGCAGGGGCCAGTGCCTCAGACTGGGAGAAACCTGACACAAGGCAGCTGGCCCCTGGCAGCGCTGCGAGGCTCGTGCCGCTGTGTTGTCAAGCGCAGGCTTCCTCGAGAGTCGCTTTGCTGCAACTTGTTGCTGCCCATTGAACTCGCTGAAGCAGGTCTCCCCGCAAAGTCTGCCCACGCGTGCCTTCACCCTGCCCTTGCTGGTCTCCCATAGCTCCCAGAGAGCTGCCAACCAGCAAAGCCGTTTGCTTGAAAACTGCCGTGCATTTCCCCAAAATTCCAGTCCCCCCAGACCTTGCCTCCTGCCACCTCTCACGCTGCCGAGCACCGAGACCTGAAATCATCCCAGTTTAATGCCTCTCCGCAGTGCCCTGAGCCACTGATGTTATTTCAGCACTTATGGGCTGGCGTTGGGAGCCTGTGGCTAGCACAAAGCGGGTTTTAATTTGTTCAGAGTCCATGTCAAGCCTAAATGGTGTTGTGTCTGGGGAGTCTGGCTCTACTCCATGAAGCAAGGTGGTTAATTAATGAAGGATTTAGTTTTTGGTGCAAGTAATAATTTTCACTGGACCCCAGTACTTTGTCGACAATTGCCTGGATTGAAATGACTGATTAAACTGGGTAAAGGAGATCTGACATAAAGGGATAATGACTGAACAACCCGATTAGTATGGAGGAGGTGCAGAAAAGCTATTAAAAAGGGAGATTTGAATATTTTGTGACATGGGATTGGCTAATAAGAAAACAGGAGGAAATACTGGGGGGGAAAAAAAAAAGCAAGTGCTGAGTTAGCAATACAAATCCTTTAAAACGAAACCAGAGGAATGAATTAAATATCATTTTGAGCTTAATAGGAGACCTCTCTTAATAGACTTTATTGGAGCTGACTGCTCTGATGGTCCCTTTCCATCTCAGCAGCACATTTCATTATGTTTCCAGGTTTGTTTCTTAGCCTTAATGTGCTTTTCTAGGCATTTTTTAAGGTTAATATAAATAAATCTCAGAGTTCCAAAGGTGGAATCTAATTGGAGTTTAAGAAAGAGCAAGCAGAAGGGAAGAATATGGCTGACTACATAGGAAATTAGAAATAAGAATAAATAGCATCATGGGACTTGGGGAAAGAACAGAGATAACCGCACAGTGTGAGATGAATGCATGAAAAAGTGGAAAATTTTAGCGTGGTAGAAAGAGGAAATGGGACGTGTTGCTGCAGACATGACAGCAGATGGCAAAATCGAGCCGCAGAGAAACAGCTGGAGAGATCAGAAGGGGCTGTAAAAGTGATGAGGATTTGCTGCTACCAAGCAGAATAAATGCAGCCTCCTCCAGTCACCATGGAGGTCCCGACCGGGAGCTCAGCTCATGGCTGGCTCTAACACTCGCTTTCAGCACACTTGGCCTGGGCTCTGGCTGACATGTCCTCTAGCAACACAATTTCCTGCAAGTCTCAGTAACACCCTGGTTTTCTTGTGCTCCCGAGGCCATGGTGGCCATGCACTTCTTGGTTTTCTCTTCCTACTAATGTCTAACCCCAGCTGGGAGCAGCATGGCTTGGGTTTCTCTTGCTAATTTAAAACATAAAACACAAGACTCAGCACCTC